GGGCCTCCACAGGCAGACACGCAGAGAGAGTGAGCGAGGAACAGGAGACGTGAGCTGAAAAGCATTTTGGTTGAGTTTTAGGTTTTCTCCTCGCCCCGACATCCCCCTCCTCCACAAATCTTGCCGTCCCCCTTCTGGAGAATCAACGACATTCACAACACATAGTCATTACCGCCCCTATTTTGACCCTCTAAATGTAACCGGATGATGCAGGAGTTTGGCCTGAGGCCGAAGGTGGGTTGGACTGTTCTGGGACGGGGGCCTTAAAAAGGAGTTACGGATGTATCTGTACATGAAGAGATAGAAGATATATCCATTTCTCATAACAGTGGGGAGGCATGGACAGCGTCTCTCATCGATATTCTAAGAGGTTCGACTAAATCGTTTTCATATTTCTGCAGATGCGGATTGTTGGCCAGATGTCTTTATAAATTGCAGAGACAGGCATAGAAACAGAGCGATGAGGTTTGCAAACCGCGGAGATCTGACTCCCTAACTTCTAACGTACTGACCACAGAACAGTTCAATTTCGGGTCGATACTCCAGGAACCAGGTTTCAGGAGGCCTCTTGAATGTTAAGTAAGGTGTAGTAAATAAAAAATAATCACTATCACGTGACTCTTGGCTCATGTTAATTAGGTCTAGAGGAGCTTTTACAGCGAAAACAGCTGCAAGGCTGCTGCTGGGAACGAGGCGAGTTTGAAGCCAAACCTGGAAAATGAGCTTAAAAAAACCAACAAAACTCTTCCAGAGTCTCCTGTTCGCACGTTTTTGTTTGACATGTTATTAAAGTATATTATACAGCAGCTCAACACTCACACACACTCACACACACACACGGTTAAAGAGTGGCTGCATTAATGAGCTGCTTTTAGCGTGGCAGTAAAAACGCGTCCACGTCAACTCTCACATCAGTCTAATTAAAAGCTTCACTTTAAATCAAGTGAGACCCAGACGGCGAGTGATGGTTAAAGCAGACTTTTGGCCGCTGAAGGAGACGTCTTCAGTGTCGAGTTTGGTGGTCTCATTCCAGTTAAGCCATCTCAAAGTGGATGAATGAGCCGTGAATTTTTCGACGGACAGACTTGGACTGGTCCCTGTCTGCGTTTGTGTGACATGGGAGAGCTGCAGCCCCCCCACCCTAAAAGAACATTTCCGCCTTCTCAGCATGCAAACCATAAAATATGACACAAATAATGAAGCACTAAAAGCCTGATTTGTGAGCTCAGGGGTGGTAAGGTCTCTGGCCATGCTCGGCATGACTCTAGAACAGTCACCACAAAGTCCTACGCTGCATGAAAACAGAACGAATAGAAAACCCGGAAATAGATGATGACCTTTAAGATCAAAGCATAATAATTGCAGCAGCCGAAACAAGGAGCCGCCATGATATTTATGTTGTGGCTGCACAATTTACTCATAAGGAATCTATTATCCACTGTTGAGCATGTCCACATTAAAGTGGGAGGCATCTGGGTCTGGAGGAATAACAGAAAATGTATTTTTTAAAAGAAGTAACGCCTTAGATTCATCGACGCAGACACATTTCCTTCTCTTTATTACAGATGTATTTTTCACTGAGGGGATTATGCCATTATGAACCTGGCAGGTCTCCCCCAGTGGAGGGATGCGTTTTGTTTGAAATGAGCAAAAACTACTGGTTAGTGTACAAGCGCCATGGATTAAAGGACAATGTGGAAAATTCAAGAGAAAGCGACAACAAGAGCGCTGAGCTGTTCGGATGATGGGAGAACGCAGAGGTGCAGAGCAGAGATACTGCACAGCTTGGAACAAAAGACGGGAGTAAAAAAACTAAAACAAGGTAACTCTACTTTCATCTATGTTATTTGTTATATTCCAGGGCATCCTTCTCCAGCTACAGACTGCCTTTACTATATGTTGATAAATTGGGCGTACAAATGTGTTGCAACTGCATTATATTAAACCCAAGTTATTTTAAACCCAAGTGAATGCTAAAACGTCCAACATGTCCACTACCTGGAGTTGTTCATTTTAATCCATCATCTATATCATACTGCACAACTATGAAAAAGGGCAAACAGAAAAAAACCCTGATTGGGACCAGTTGCTTTAAAACATCTTTCAGCTAAGCCCGTGACATGGGATCATCTAAATCTGACGGCAGTGTAGATTAAACTGGAATCAGTATCCAAATATTTGTCTTAACCCCCCCCCCCCATCCACAGCAGGGTCGACTCGGGACAAAACCTATAGCCGAGCCGGAACAGTCACGGCTTACATGAAATCAAATCAGTGACACCAACATGCCCTCGAATCAATCACCAAATGCTGCTCCACGTGGTACGGAGAGGAAAGTCCTCACCTGGTGCGAGCACCAGTATGGGCCGACAAAGACGACCAGCATTTTCCAAATAATGAGTAGACATTATTTTAGCAGAGCAGCACTTTCAGTTATAACATTATAGTTTATAGTGCACATCATTGGGCAGGACCGATGGGTTTTTTTTTGGTTTGGCATAATTTATTAATCTGTTCGCGTCATCAATAATAAGAACACATCAGCATGAGGCTAATTTAGCCATGAACAAATCCTCCATGGATTTGATTCTTAACCTCACATTGCTGATTGATTTTTTCTTCCATGGTAGAAAACAGTTTTTGCTGTTGTTGTTTTCAGGACTGACAGTGTTGAACAAAACAAGTTTTTTTTAAGACCAAACTAATAATCAATTAGTGGAGATCCTCGATTAATCCGTTAATCCATTGTAAAAAATAATGGTAAATTGCTTCCTGTCTCCTTTCTGAAATGATCGTAACGTCCTCCTTCTCCCATTGCTCAGTCAGGCTTTGGGAAAACTACAGAATGTCAATTCATATCAGGGAAGAGAGTTTTTTTGTTTTAAATTGCAAATTTTGTTTCAATACGTTAGCTCCTAAAATCAATGTTAGCAGTGTAACGATTGTGTTGCAGTGAGACCTCCCGTCTCAAACCTCTTTCAAAGAAAATAAGCGGCAGCGCTGACTTTAAACTGAACAAAGTCTCTGGAAAACGTGTTGCATCTAAGTGTGCATGTGTGTTTACCTGTGGGTAAACAGTGTGTGCGAACGCATGTATGTGTGTGTTTGTGTGCACGTCTACACGTGCATTCCATATCGCCTGGAACGAGCTTACAATTCAAAATAGTTTGCGGCATCTTGAGGCCCCGTGCATCTGTTCTCAGTTTAAAACCTGTGTGTAACTCACCGGAGTACGAGCCTCCTGAGCGAAATGTGCTTCACTAAGCACCTCATTACAGAAAAAGAGACCCTTTGTGCACCGCTGAGGTACATCAGCGTGTGGGAGGGGACCTCTGAATGGTGGGGAATTGCTGCAACAATGTGACAGAGGTATTGTCCCTTTCATGGCTCGATGACACCGCATCTCCCAGTTCCATCCAGATTGATAATGCCGCAAAATACCGTGCACGGAGTCAGAGTGTGTCCATCCGCGCTGAGAAACACGGGGCGGTGCTGCTGGAGACAGGACTCCTGCAGATTTATTGGTTTTGGTTCAACATCGGTGGGAGGTAAGTGGTCAGTGAATCATATTACCCTAACGGTAAGCAGCAGCCCAATAAGACAACAATCTGTCAAAAACAAGCAAAAGAAATAGTGACACAGAACCACGAAGTGACAAAGCGAATTCCCTCAAAAGCACAAAACATCAACTTTCCAATCTCATAGTGGTCATTGGATCAAATTGACGGAGGATGAATTGCCTGTCATTATATTTGACGGTACAAAAACAAAACCAGACAGGAACGTTCCCGGTACTTCCAGCTCAGCGCTAGAAAGAGTACGTTGACATGCTACGTTCCCAACAGAAAAGCCCAGGCATTGTGGCAACAGAAAGAAAAAAATATCACACACAAAAAAGATATATACACTTGAAAGTTTAATTTCTGTTTGGTCAAGGGAACCTCCCTCGGGGTCAACACTCACAGAAATCCATCATGCCCATACTGTGTATATATATATATATATATATATATATATATTATATATATTTATAAATATATATATATATATTATATATATTTATAATGCTGCCATTTCAATAAAAGTCAAATAAATATTAAATATTTGTAAATGCGGGACTTATGGGTTGGTTTAAAAAATGTCAGCTTCACAGTGAAATGCATAAGCTGTAAATCCACAACACAAATAGGACTTCCATAACAACGGTTATGATTAAAAAGTTGAGACAATCGTATAAACAATCAAGCTGAACACAATATCTTTCTCTAAACTCTTGACAGGTGCTAAACCCCGGTAATGCACATGGAGGATGTGATCCAAGCATGGAATAACAGGACTGTCCATGGCCCCTAAGAGTCACACCACAACTGACCAGCTCCACCACTCAGCCACATGCCTATCTGTCCCATTGTGCGCCCCCCCCCCCCCCCCCCCTTCGTTGGAACAAAAACCAATCTCCTCGGTAACATCCACGGAAGACCTCCAGGAAGGGGGGCCCATCGGGACAGCCTCCGCCCGTTAATTTTGCCACCTCAATTTGGGGTGATCTATAAATTTTAAGAGCTGTTTAAAACAACCACGGCGGTGGTTTCACTTGTGTCCTTTTTTTTACGGGGTAAAGATTAGAGAGAGTGCTCGGGGGGGGGGGGGGGGGGGGTTGCGCACTGGCCATTGGCGCAGCGGCTCGCAGAAGGGTAACGTTACGCATACACATATGTGGAATGTGGAGGGAAGCACCCGTATGCAGCGGCAACAACACCAACAACAAAAACAGCAGCAGCACGCACTAACACCCAACAGCCCCGGTGCTGTGCACGTGCACGTCGCTGAGCGAAGCGGGTCCGCGGTGCGAAGTGAGCGCGCGCGGCCTCGAGCGAGCGTCCAGCGCGGAAACAAAGAGGACCGCTGCTAGCTCGTGACGTTACGAGCTAGCCGGAGTTTCGTGCGTCACACACACACTCACACACGCCATAAAACCAAGGTAGCGCACGCTGACTTACCAGATGTGGCATATCAACCTTCACTTCGTGCAGGAGCAGTGGGGGCTCCCAAGTATCGGAGCCAGGTGCCCAAATCTACCGCGGCGGCAGAGTTGAAGGCAGCTTGTTCTTCTTTCAACAATTCCCCTCAGGCTGGACAGACTTGACCTCCGTAAAAAAACAAAACTGTCAACAGAGAAGAACGAAGTCGTGATTAAACGGGGCTATCTGCGTGGGGGTCTGCTGGGTCATGACGTTCCGTTATTTCTCGCAGGCACACGCCGTTACACCAAACCAGCATTCAATAGATCAATAAATAATTGCGTCGCTTAATCTCCAGGTAAACGATGCTGAGCACAGGGACTTTAGACCTTTCGCTTAACACGTCGGGGCTTGCGGGTCATTCGGCACGCAGCTTACACGTGATGCACTTCAACCAAAACAAAACTTCCAGGTTTCGTGACGGTGTTCAGGCTGCCCTTCCCCGCCTGCGCGTGCCACTCCGCTCCCTACACCCGCCGAGAGACGGAATAAAACGCGTTCGTGATTTACGTCTGCGAACTCATCAGCACTGGTTCCGCACATTCGCAAACAAAAATGGGGTTTTGCGCACCCTCCCCCTTTTGCCCCCCTCTCTCCCTACGAGCGGTACAACACCTTAACTGCGCCCGCACACTCGCTAGCGAAAAGCGGCAACGGATACCAACCGGCGTCGCGTGCGGTTGTGTGACACGGACCTCGCGACGACGCCAGTAAACGCCGAGACTTTTACTGCGTACGCACACCGGAGCAACACCGTCCGTGTTCGGCGGCACGCCAGGACACCGCAGCCCGCTGGACCGCAACGACGTTAGCGCGAACGCTAACCCGTAACTGTGCGCGGAGCGGGCTGCTGGTAGCGTCAACGTTAATGCCGCCAACAGCCCACCCGGGCTGGCCCGAAAAACGCATGTGGCTCTCGCGTCCAAAGCGCTCCTCGACGATACACAGAGAAAAACAAAACAAAAAACTAAATGCAGTTCTAGTGTCGCGTCGCCTTTGACTGCGCAGAACGCCCCAGAATGTGCGAGAAAGTACCAAATATCTTACATTAGTCCATGGGGAAGGGCGACGTCAGCAGTCACTCTGTTAGTCCAGCTTTTAGATCTGTATCAACATAGACAGGGGAGCGCTTCTCCATCGTCCCGCCCCCCACGGTTTAACAGTCAGGCATATCTATACGTAAATATATATATAATCCTTCCCGCGTCCAATCACGGCTCTCCACTCCCGAGTGGTCTCCGCTCCCATTGGTCGAGAGACGTATCATTCTGATCCGAGTCTACAGCTGTCTCCTTACCATATAGGGGTGTGTCGTGACGTCAGAGACTGTCGGTTGTGAACAGTTTTGACAAAATTAATAACAGTATAATTACGTGTGAGAACAATAACAACAGCACAGTGAAGACGGCGAGAAGAGACGGCAAGACAGCAAGAAATTACACCAAAAACAACACTATATATACACATTTGTGTGAGAAAATGTATGTTTTGACAATGCAGCATTTTAGCATTGTACGTACTTTGTAACTCCACATTTCTCATCATGAATAATGTATGGCTCCCTGTTACATGATATATGAAATTCCAGCATCCTCTTTTCGCTCTTTCTCCCTTTCTGATGCCTTTGCCCAGGAAACTGGTAGCTGATAGCGAGTAATGAAGAGCATTAAACTAAACTACCATAGCCCATAGTTTGTAAGAGGAGAGGGGCTAGTTTGACTCCTTGGTGGAAGAGTTCAGAGGGACTGATGGTTCCCTGTGGTGCCATATAAAATGTCACCCCAGGGAGTTTTTATTGTAGCACTTCAATAACCGCATTACCCGCTCTCTAATAAGGAGTCATCTCTTCTTCCACCTCATTTCTCTGGGAGGGCTTTACAGGGCCAATCACCGGACAGGAGAAGTTGGACCATGGCGTCTGTTTTTATCAAGTGCATACCAACCTGACTTGAGGCTATTTACTGTTCCAGGCATCCAATCTATGACCGTACAATGTGCTCCAGGTGGTAATCCATAACTTGCTGTCGTCATTGTGAGAAGCATTAACCAATTACTTGTAATGTAATGTCTCTCTCTCTCTATATATATATATACGTATATATATATTCCATACTATAATATATTATGCATTTACTAGATTCTTTGTTACACTACACATTATCATAATATAATTTACTTGACTACACACTATACTATACAGGTCTATAGTTTATGTCAAACTATACTGGACATTTTGTGCTCTCTACAATACAACATTATAAGCTACAATATAATACAATACAATATTCAATATGCTTACTTTGCTATACTCTACTATACTCTTTACTATATTATACTATACCGTTATACAACACATTAGGCTACAGTACTGCACTCAACCAAATTCAGCTGCTGCCGTCATTATGATGCTAATCTTGTCAGACTGTTGGCCAAGTAATTAAATCCAAAAGTCAAAGCTAAATGGTTACGGACTGGTATGTTAAAGGCAATGGTAAATATTTGGTTTCACCAAGAGCTTTTGTAGCTTTAAGACACTTTTGTAGCACCAACCAGGTTATGAACCACATTCAAAAGAGCCGGGTTCTGTACAGCTCACACCTGACGGGCCCCTCACGTCCCTTTCTTCAAGGCCCCCATGTTCAATGACCATCAAGCACCAGGATTTTACAATGCAGCATAAATCACTGTTGACTTTCATACATGCATTAAACTAAATACAAGAACTAAAAAATGTGACTGGGTATTGACATTCCAGCGTATGTACTTGACACTCAAACGTGTAGTCTCTGTGTGCGTGTGAGCTTTCCCTGCAGCCTGCCTGCACGTGCATGTGTTGGAATCTAGGCCATCCCTTGTGGCTTTGTGTCTGAGAGGCGGATCAGTCTATATGAGGGGCAGCCAGGCATTTGGGCGTGTTTGTGTGGGGGGCATGCGCACAAAGGACTTCATCTTCCTCTGTGTTTGCGTGCGTGTATGAGCGAGAGACAGAGAGAGAGGGAGAGAGAGAGGGAGGGAGAGCATACTGTATGAGGTACCTGGCCTGTTTTCCGCTGTGCAAACACACTAAAGCGTAATAAGGACAGGAGACACTCTCACTTAAGTTCAACACAGACTTTCTATGTAGCCGTCTCCGCCTCACTATCTCCCTTCCTAGAGCTTGGAATCTCTCCATCCCTCTGCTCCCCACCTCCGAACACACATGCACGTACACACCACTTTCTCTCCCGCTTACCCGGTGAGTCTAGGAAACAGCTGGAAAAGCAAATAGTAGCAGGCGGGCCCGAGCCCTGGCCCGCTGCATCTCACAAATGACTGGACCTTTGGATGGATGAATGCAGTCCTCACACTTGTTTTTTTTTTTTTTAACTGCAGTAAAAAAAAAAAAAAAGTGGTAAATTGGAAAAAATAAAAACACAAGGAGTAGCGCAACAGTGCAAACCTAGAGGAACGCTGCACAAGTTGGCAAAACGACGAGTTATTGAGGCGTCGCAGCGTGTGCCGAGAAGATTTGTACCTTTGTGTGCCGGGAGTTTAGCAGGGATATTTCGGCAGAGTCGAGGGACACAGAGCATCACACAAGCTCTTTCCTGTGTCCCCTGTTGCAAATGTGTGCCTCTCACAACAGCCTCGACCTCTAACTCCTTGACAATGTCATCCTCCTCTTCCAAAATCAATAAACTCAAACCATATTCACAACAAATTTGCTGCATTTCTTCGGACACGGGGGAATTGACTAGCTGGGAAAACCACCATTTTGTGAAAGATAACATTTACAAAATGTTAAATAACAGGACTCTGTCCCTTCCTCCCATCAGGAAGCCCTGTTAAAAGTTAGTTTGTGATTTATGAACTAAACATGTCTTCATGAGTTTAAGGGAGAAGAACAAAGATTCTTGATGACGTCATACATTTTCTCCCTTTTTCAGGGTCATGCAGGATGGCGAGGCTGGAACACATTGATCTATTCATTCAGTTCTTTCGTCTTCTACGTGCTGCTGCAGGGGAGGAGTACGTGAAACAGGCACAAAATGTACTAAGCAGGTTTCAAGAATGTGGATTTAATAGGAATTTAACGTAGACCACATATAAGAGAGCGCTCCAGAGAGTCCAAGTCTTTCCAAAGGCCCGACACTGGCATGTGCCTCGCGGTCCGTCGTTACACCCTATAACATGTGATAAACACTACGGGGAAAAGTTCACGTGCAGCCGATCACAAACCACCTTCCTCCATCTGCCTCCCTCTAAATCCTTAGAGGAAGTTCTAAATCCCCCGACTGATGGTAAAATAAAAGTAAAATCATTGACTTTGGGGAACATAAACACAGAACCCCTGATGGAAATATTTTGGCCACAGAGAAAATGTGATTTCTGAGCCTAGTCTGTTTCACTTTATTACGCTTTTCAATTGGAATTTAATTTAAGTGCTTTCAGTTGAACTCCGTGGGTTTGTTTTAGACGAAACCCATGGAATATAAAAGGGTTCTTGGTAGAACTCCATGGAGGTCGTCTTGATGTTGCATCTTGAGAAGATGAAAATGTTCTGGATGGAACCATTACGCCATACAAAGCGTTCCCAGTAGACCCTCTGACCGGGAAGCTCTGGGAGGATCCTTTGCTTCTAGATACAACACTTTGTGTTTGGTTCTTGGTAAAACCCTCTGAAAAGGTTCCAGGTGGAGCCATTATGTTATTATTATTATTTATTAGGGACAAGTTAGGGGGCTCTATATGATTCTTTAAAGCACTTTTACAAAAAGAAAACTATTCCCCTTCAAAGTATTGAGGAGCAAAAATTTAAAGTAGCATAAAAATGGAAATTATAAAAAATGCTTTACTATCGTATATTAGCACCAGCTAAACACTTGTAATCTGCCTTAATGCAAAGAATATCCGTGTAAACCTTACCGCTCAGTATGCAACCAGACATATCCCTTTTTTAACAGTTTGAAAGAAAAGGCTGTGGATGTCCTTTGTGTTCCGCAACAATACAACAGAGTACTGACAGATTTTGCATTGATTGTGTATCGGAAAATATGGGGACGAAGAAAACGTCAGGTTGAGTTGGAAGGGAGAAAAGAAAGAGGGAGAGGCTGCAGACAATTAACGGCCGCGTCATCAGTGCCTGATCAATGTCAAGCTGTTGCACAACACCAAACCCCCTCTCCTTTTGTGCTCCTCTCTTGCTTCACTTCATGTGCTTTCACTCGTCCTCCTTCAGTCCACGCAAGAGAAGAAAGCCAAACGTCGCCTGATGATTCAAATAAGTTGTGTTGATTATTTAATCATAGTTTCTCGTGGTCTCCAGTGCGTCGCCTCACGTCTTGCAAGGGAACGTTTTATTTCCCAAAGTTTTGCTCATTGGGGGCAGCATTTAAAGAAAAATAACAAAGCAGAGTGTGCGCTCCTCTTTCATTCCACCCCTCCCTCACCCTCTGGTCCCTCATGACCTCTGACCTACCGGGATTCGTCACGAGATGGCGAAGAGGAGGCCCAAATCACAGCTTCGAGTGAATCCGTCTGCGTTTGCAAACGGTGAGCGTCCCCTCCCTCGGAAAACAGATGGGAGGGATTTGAGGTCTGAAAGCGGTTGGAATTTTCGTCTAATTGGCGCACTCTTCTGCCCGAGTGGTGCCCCCGCCTTTATTTCCCACCTATCAGCCCCTGAAAGCACCGCTCGCCCCGGTGCCTTGTTTCGTAGAGCGGTGTAATGCAATGCCCCCCCAGCGCTGCGTCAGAGCCCAAAATGGATCCTCACATGGCGGTACAGTTGGAGGCTCAGGTCCACCAAGGACCCAGTTTCTCACGAGGATCCCCGGCCACGACTGCTGCAATAATATAAACGTCATGTGTAAAAGATGGTCTGATGATTGTCTTTTTATAAGCAACAGCTGGCCAGCAGAATAGGACTTTTTGTTTTGCGAGTGCATTCATTGGTCCCTATTTCAGTTGAGTTTTTTTGTAGCACTTTTGTCCCGTTTTTATTCA